CATAGTTAATAGAGGGAATGGTTATGAAACCCGACAAAGTTCTTTGTTGTATGTTTTTGTTCTCTTTTTTGGCCTTGACCCTGCACAAAACACAATAGTTGTTTACTCCGTACTGAGGAACTAACCAATAGAAACGTGCTGGTTACGTAATTCATGCATAACGTATGAACGCAAAACAAAAGATTGTGCAGGGTCGTGGACCTTCTAACATAAATCTTGGCATCTTTGTTTGCTCCTTTGATGTTTGCCGGGCTTCATAACCAGTCACCTCCATTAACTATGTTCAGATCTATGTCAGAGCTCTGGTACGTGACCACTGTTTGAAGTCGTGGTAATGCCAAAGATTAAATTCATTCCGGCGGTTTAGAAAATGTCAGTTTCTTTCGTTTTTCGGCTTTAGTTCGGTTGGGGGCAACCAAAAGAAAAGAAAAGAATGGCATTTTACATTTTACTTGAATGCGTACAAAAACGTGGCAAGGAAAATGGCCTGGGGGGTATGTAACAAAATTTTATACAGAAAGGCTCCGCCCCAAGGTCCAATACCTAACCCTTTAATATGACTATTTTCGACAGAAAAGCTGCCACTTTCGTATATCTTTTGATGGCAAATGATACCCCTTTCAAATACTAGTTTAAAACGCTGCATCTGTTTAAAGTGCCGTAAATGAACAATAATAATAACTATAATAATTCTCTGTAAATACAATAATTCAATATGAATAATTCTCCAAACCGGGGAGTTTTCTAGTCTTTTTCACATTCAAAAAATGCGCCTTGTAACCTTTTTGGTCCTTTAACATACCGCAATGACAGATTCCCCTACCCATTATATACTTCAATTGGTGAAATTCTTACCCTTTCATATCACTGAAGCCTGAAATCAGAGAGCCCGCTACCCCTTTTGGGCGCCTACTGATGAAGCGGGCAGGACTGATTGCACAATGTTTGCTGGCTTTAGAGTAAGAGTAAGAGAGCTGCCCTTATTTCAAAAAGATGTCCATAGTCACGAGTTTTGACTGTCCGTTCAATATAGCACAATTGAAAATACTCGCGGCCGTGGAATCGATAGGAAATACTCGCTTTCAAAGTAGGGTTACCATGGCAATTTATGATTAGTCAGAAGCCGGCTCTAAAAGGCCAGCCTCTGGCACTGACACGCTGGCTACTTAAAAAAGATCAAAAGAGCCGTCAGTGTGGATGTATTCTTGAGTAGAATATTGAAGCAGAAAAAGAACGTGAACATACAACAGTATACAATTTTTGCATCAATTTATATATTATGTAATGAGTAGGTTTTAACCCACTTCGACCAGCATTCAGCTGGGCATCGGCAGATTATTCAAAGATTAAATGCAGCCCCGCGATTTATGATTGTTATGAGTCGTTCTTTCCAATGATTTTGGTTTGCCGCAACTTTAAGGAGTCAAAATGACATTTGAGCATGCAGTCAAAGGAGATAGACTCAGAAATGTCAAAGTTAAAAATGCAACAATAGTGTGTTCAACAGTAAGTGTTATATAAGGTGTAATATTGTACTTACTTCAAGAGAGAGATATGAAGCCATTATTACTTTGTGGCGTTCCGTTTTTCCCGGCACAACTAACAAATCCTTGTTACATTAGAGAGGGTCCCTTTGCTATAAGCCAGCTCTAGATTATCAAGATAAGAAAATCTTTGCTGTTGTGATTTTACTATTTTAGTCTCTCTTGTTTTAGTTTAACTAAGCCTTGTTAGTAGCATTCCGCTAAACAACTTCAACTGCATTCTAAATTATTAATAAAACTAGTATAGGAATCCCTGCGCCAAATAAACAATACCTTCATGATACACCCTGCCAAAGCTCCGTCAACATAGGAGGTTTGCTCCGCTGTGACCTTTGTTCCCACTCCAACTTAACCTGGAGCACATGACTCATTACAGATGTCCTTGCCCCACCCCTCGTCTTGAGATTGGAATCTGTCACTGTGGAACTAAACTCACTCGACATGGCCCGACTCACTCAAGGCATTAAGGTCAGTTTAGTTAGTTTTTTCTTTCTTTTAGCAAAGACCGTCTCGACTAGTCTTAATACGAACAGTAACACTTATAAGGGAAACATTTAATGTTTCGAATGTAAAGGAATACTCACAAATATCCGAAAGTTGTTGATCGTTAGCGCATATGTATTTTGATCCGTCATAGCGTGTGTAACACTTGAGTGCGCAGTTGAAAAACATTCAACGTAGGCAAGTGTGAATCTGCGGTTTATAAAGGAAAAAATAGAACTTTAAACTGCTATAACAATTGTTACCGTTTCAATTCTAAGAAGGCTCGAACAGACGAGAAAAACTACTCAGATTCAGATGATCGTGAAGAAATTTTGACCGGAGTGTTGGCCAGTGTCACAGCCTTCGGAGTGACTCAATCACGGAATCGTATTCCTTCGCGTTGAATGCTTATAGTTTCTTTCAACAGTATTTAGCGCGCATTGTTCGGTGGAATAGTGTAAATATTTCCAAAGAACTGTATACTACGTCAAAAAGCACTTTTTGATTCGATCAATTATAGAATTATTCGCTAACGGACTCGGCTGTACAGGGCTGTACAGAGTCAAACACTGGTCGGACGGTCACACATTTTGAAACTAAAAAGGTGTCTGCAATAGAGCGAATCAGTCTCGGGATGACCCGCTTTAAAACTAAACAGCAGATTTACAAACTGGGAGTAGACAAGTATGATCAAGTATGTTTAAAGCAGAGCCAGCGAAATTTCTAAGACTTGGAATGTGTTGGAAGCGCTATGGGTCTGTAGTTATATCGGATGTATTGTAGAACAAAAGCCTCATAGAGGCGCGCCTCACGTTTATTATCTTGCGCCTTATGAAACAGCAACAATGATTTTATAGATTTGATACGTACTTGTTTCATTTTAACTGAAAAATCGCCCATTTTTACTGTTGACTTATCAAGTACCGGGATCTAAATGAACAACAACTTGAATGTGTATTTGTGCAGTGAGCCATTTCAATCCGCCCTACATAGCAACAGGAATGGGTAGAAAGAATTCCCTAAGAAGCTCGGTTTTCTACCGACTATTTTCTCTCTGTTTTCTCACTGCCTGATGTCATACTTGGAAAAATCATTCTTCTGATGATTTTTGCCCCTACATTCCAAAAATATAATAAATTTGTTTTAGCCTTCTGGTGACTCAATTATCACAACACGTGAAGGCGATTTTAATAAAAAGGCCTTTTGACTCCTATCACTTATTTTATTTTCCCTGAGCGGTGCAAGAAAACAGTTACGTTGTGAAGTTGTGTGGTTCACTGTGCACAAATAACCCAGGAAAACCAGCCTTTAGAGTCTAAGAAGGCCACATTTTGCTTGTTTTTCGTTGCGTGATAGAAGGATGAAAGCTTCTGACTTGTGAAATTTACATAAATTGAATGGAACCTTAAACTTGATACAGTGTATTTCCCACTTCTGGCCCGGCCTTTCGTTTCACCAAGACAGCTACCCTCTACTGTTATTAATGACATCTTCTGTGCGCTGTTACAAGGTGGATCAGTCTAGGTGCAGGCAAGGGCTTATACTCATTGCATAGCAATTCACTAAGATGTTTATTGTTTGTGCATGTGTAAGTGCGAGAAGAAAATTAAAGATGCACGAGCGTTCACTTCTACATTGTAGCTGTTTAAGTGCCAATAAGCCTTTAGGACATCGAAGTTAATGCACCTTGAGGTCTGACTGTTTTAGTAGCTTGAAATTGTCGACGCTTCTCCGCTGGGTTATAAGCAATACGTATATACATCAAGGCGGGCTTAGCATGTTGATGGAGTACATTCTAACACGCGCAGTATCAGTTAGGTCCCTGAAATAAGAGTTCATTTCGAAGGCATTTAACTCCCTACTAAGTTTGATATCATGACTCGATTAATGATTTCCAATCGCTGAAATTCTAACAGGTGAAAAAAAGAGATTCTGTGAGTTAAATATCTTTGAATGTCGCTGGTGAATACATAATCTATAAAAATTTGAAGTGGAGAGAGTTAGTTTGCCGTCCAAAATTCCACTGGGATTTCTCTCAAACAAAAACGTTTACCATTTATTTCTTTGTTACTGGTGAAAGACTGATACAACATTATTTTTTTCAAATGAAAGAAGAAATGACCTGAAGGTTTTTTGTCAGCTCAACAATCAATCAACTCTTGATCTGTGAGCTACAATGTAGTTGCCACATTAAAATTTGTCTGAAAACTTTAACATAAGTCAGTAGAATTGTTGATATATTCTAGAACAAAACAAACACAGTTTCACATTTGTTGATCAACAAAATGCCTCATGCCATGTTGAATGTTGTATAAATGGGCCTACGTGTCGAATTACTTCATTGAACGAGAAAAGAGAAGGGCTCTACTCTTTTCAACCAGTTGCTACTATTTGTTGAACAACGAGGTTGTGAACAACGTAAAATGTTAGACCTTGAGGCATTGGCTTTTAAGACCAAACTATTGCCGATATGTTTATATTGCACTCACTTAACCGTGCAATACTTCGGCACTGTCCTGTATTACAAAAAAAAGCAAGGTTGACACTGGTTTACTTTAGTTCGCGTGTCAACAAAAGGTCGATTACAGCTTTTTGCCAGTTACGTACTTTACTCGAATGATCGTTTGAGCTCTATTTGGACGATCAAGCTTTGAAATTATATTTAATGTTAGTATTCAATTTTATCCTTACTGTTGAATATTTATTTTTCTTTAATTAATACTCACAAATAATTACTTGACACAATGCTGCCGGATAAATTCAATTGAACCTGACGGACTAAGTTGAACTGCATGGAACCCATGGGCAATGAACATCTCGAAATACAGTACTAGACAAATTGGAATTCTACAGTGAATTTATGTGGGTTCTGAAGTCGACTGGTAATTATACATATTATAAATCTTATTTTCGAAGGGATCAGTTGAACGTGTGTTATAGCCAAATCCATTCAGTGTTTATAGATCGCCATTGGTATCTCGTTTTACTTAGTAAATCATTTCTCTGTCTTTACAGCTTTATGAAGAAATATTTTTGCCCTCGTGATCTCAATATGAAAGGCCACCGACGCTCCACTAAGTATTGACCTATTTTTACCTATGGCGTCACCGAAACTGTGGATCCACCATGATCCAACGCACTCAGAACGCTCATTTTGTATACTATTTATAACGTGCAGTGCGTTTACAACTGAGTGTGTGAATTCAAATTTACCTGTAACGCTAAGTGTACTCTCCACTTCATTTTGATCGATTCGAGTCCTGTTTTGCAAACGAAACTGATCACACACTTTAATTTTCTCCAAGTAATATCATTGACGCCACTATAAAAATTGCATGGGGAACGAGGAATTTCAGTTTTATAAACAAGTCTAGCATTTTCGTACCCTAGGTGCCAGAGACTTTTCAATGGGCGGTCTCCGTATTTTTGGACAATTTATTCAATTTCAGTTTTCACTAGCTTTAAATGCCTCTCGGTTGTATTTAATTTACCCTAAATTAAATTAATTTTAAAAAAAAATGGTCGTAAATATCGAACTTGTGTACCATTTTTGTCGATTCTAAACAACCTCCACATATGAGGTGCTATTAAGCATGGAGTTAGAAAGAGTTCTATTCTAAAACAAGAAGGTAAAGGCCCACACGGCTGGAGCTTATACCGGTTTCCGTAGCATGAAGCAAGACTAGGGGTATTGCTACTCCCCCTCCTGGACGGGATGCTAGTCCATCGCAGGGTTACCCCCCAGCAGTATGTTGCCGGTACCCATTTATTCACCTGGGTGAAGAGAGACAAAGTGGAGTAAAGTTCCTTGTCTAAGGAAACAACGCGATGGGCGAGGGTTGAAATTCTAAAACAATATCAGGTTAAAATATGTATTTTTTTCTTAAATATGCTTAGGAAAACACGCAAAAAACCAAAGTATTTCCAATTTTGAAAATCAGCACAACCTTACCAGGCACTGCGAAAAATCGAGGTGTTTTCGGTTTTTTTCCTTTCTTCCTTTACTCGACTACATTTAGGAATTATTTGTTTAATTTAAATAATTTTTGTAATCACTGTCTGCCGAAGAATCATAATGTGACATTTTTTTGCTCTCCATCATCTTATGTTGCTTTTACTCAGATGTTAACTTTGCTAATTAATACAACTCTTACATAAGCTGCAATGGTCTGAGTGGGATCTTAAGTCTTCCGTAATCGGCGTAGAGCTACACTCGTGTCATGAATACTAATTCATTATCCCCTAGGTCAAGAATATGTGGTAAAGTTTATCACATACGGAATGAAGGGCTAGATCCGAGCAGAATTCGAAGCGAGCATAATAAGCTATTTTTAGTTTCTAGAATAATTTGTGCCTATAAATAACCTGGTCAGATTGAGTCCATTGCTTACTCTCACTCCAATTAAACTCCAATTAAAGTAACAATGTTCCTCTTATTTTGCTTAGTTTCTTCACTACCTCTTAACTTTGATGTAAAAGAAGCATCTCAAAAAATCAAGAAACCAAGGCAACGAGAAGGTATATCAAGAAAAAACAATGGCAGAAAGTTATGTAAAGACAGAACTAGAGGAAAAGAGGACTTCCACAAGGATTGGCGGAACCAGCAGCGAAATGGTTGTTTTCACAAGTGAAATTCCCGTCACTGTTAAGCAAGAAGAAACGGAGACATCTTGCAACATGAGTGGCCAAGAGAGTACGAATTTACCCATTACCTCAACGAGCTACGCGGAACATTCCTTTGTAGAAGTACGAGCCCTTGATGACGTATTGAGTATCCAAATAAGTAATGTTCAAGGTTCACTTCCTTTCCAAAATGGTTCTGATGAAGAAATACCGTTTTTAGGCAAGCAGAAAGAAAACCAAATGGATAAATCACTATTTAGTGATAAACAACTGAAATCAAATTTTCGTTACAGCAACCATGGGAACACTGTATCAGAGGTTCAAGAATTATATCGAGACGTGGAATTCACTAAAGATACAGCCACACAAAAGGAAACTCATTCTAAGGAGAATGAATTGCGATCTCCCATAAGTCAAACCAGATTTTACAATGGGATACAATTGGCCGATATAGCAGAAAAAGAGAAAGAAATATATTGTCATTCAAGGTCTTCCAACGAAGAAGTATCAGGTGCGGAAAACCACCCTGCAGGCGGTTCAACAACGGTATTTTCAGCTTTTCAAGCGAATAACGAATCCCTATTTCCAGTATATCAGATGGGTAACGACAAGGCGATGCGGGTAAACCAGTTTGACACCCAGAATGGCACCCACGAAACAGCATCATCTTATCAAACTGGCATCAGCAAGCTTCCGTCATCAAATGAGATCTTAAACGAAAACGTCCCTCTTTACCACGTGGGCACTGTGAAAGAAATGGCTGCGTCACAGACAAGACTCATCGAAAGGGAACCACGATGCCAGGTCAGGAACTATCAACCAGAAGTATCGGAGTCTTTAGGTGGTCAGGTTGTCAATTCTGGCGAATCCCTCAGGTTTAACCAGAGACAGATAAACGACGCAGGGCTAAACTATAACATGAACGCCATATATAAGTGCTGTAAGTGTGGCTGCCATTCATCAGCGCAGAGTAACCCTTACTACGGCCTTCCACCTGGTTTAGAAAGCCAGCGCCCATCAGTTATTATGGTTCCTGTAAACTGGAACAGCATAGCCTCTGGGACGTCGCACATGCCTTTGAAGGTAGGACGACAGTTGAGGTTTCTTGCGTGTTTTAGTAGGAGTCTTACGAAACTACGACGGTGACCGCAACGGGAACGACAAAGCAACAATAGGTTTAGTGACAAAAACAACACTCTGCACGTGCATCACGCTTTTCTGTAAATTTCTTTGCCGTCCCTGCACAACTACGACGTGAAATGACCAAATGTTAAGTTTACTCGAGAACGGGAACCGGGCAAGGCGATAAATTCTACCATCTCTGTCTGAACTCAGGCGTGATCCCTTAATTCTCTTAAGCTCTAATCCAAATTCCTTTCTTTTAAGTAACCGGGCGACTTGGGATAATCGCGAAAAAAAAAGTAAAACGATTGCTAAGTCTATTTTTCAGCGACGTTTTCATGGACGTCGATGTTGTAGGATCGTAATGTTCCTAGAAAGTCGCTGCCGGCGTTAGCTTAACCCTTTCACTCTTAGAAAAACTATGGCGAAACTGTTTGCCTCTCTGATTTCGGCAAGCCTAGATTTTTTCAGGCTTTATTTCGTAGCTACGTAAGTTGCGATGTTCCTCTTCTCTTCTTCCGCTGTCAGTGTCCCAGTGTATTCCACAGTCTAGTGTGCATGCATACCCAGATTGTGTTCTTAATTGTCATGAAAGACGTTGTCACCACAGATGTTTTGACTTTTAAGAATTTAAAGGCTGGCGATTTGTAACATGGGAAGCCGATTGAATTTTACGCAAATGATACATAGATACTGAGCGCAAAAGGAAAAATCACACTTCCCTTAAGAAACAAAAGCAACGTATGAGGGATACATGGATACCGAGAAAATATGAATCTGTAAGATTTTTATGCCGTGAAATGTTGATACTGCTCTTAAAACTGCAGTAGATTGACCCAGTATAAAAGTGGGTTGATTGAACGGTATTCACCGGATGTCTCTTAAACAGCTCTTAATATCATCTTATGGTATTAAGCATCGCGTTTACGACAAACGGCAAGTGAGAGATTCAGGTTGAGAAATTTTCAAAATGAGAAATGAACAGTTAAAACACCTTAAAACAATTTTTATGGATAGAATTGGCGTGAATCTACCGATTTCCGTGCAGTTATAATGAACAGTAAACGACAAGTAAAGTGGAAACTTGGTCACGTGGCACAAATTCACGTTTGCCTTTTGCCGTTTGCCGTAAACGCGATGCTTAATCTCTCTATAACAATTACTAGTTAACGTTTACCTGCACTGTAACATGTTGGCTAAACGTCGGCCAATAGGTTGAAGCAATTTTTTTGAAGCCTATCAGTAAAAAGGGGAAGTGTGACGTAATGTTACTATGGTACCAAAATTCCTGAATCTCAACAATCTTTCTTGACCAGAGACGGCCATTTGCATTGTCGAACGATGGAAGAAAAGGTGCGGGCTATCGTTTTGTCCCTGAAAGCAATCATGAACAGAGAAGTCATGCATGTCAATTTTTGTCTTTTTTCTGCCATATTTGCAGTACCACGGATAGTTGAGATCCAGAAATTTTGCTACCATGGTACTTTGGCGTTGCCACTTCTCCTCTCTGTTGTGTTAATTCTTGCCCCCCAGAGCCTCTGGTTTCGTTTGATCACGTGATCAACAAAACTAGTTCGCCAAGTTTTCACTACCTTTACTGTAATACTGTTTACATAAGCAATCAATGATGTTTTTTTGTCTCTTTTGCAGGGTAATACACCTTACTCGCTAGCGTCAAAAAATTGGCGAAACGTCTCTAATATTGCGGTAAGCGACGTTTTTACGTTATTTGATTGTTTTTTGTTTTGTTTTTTTTTAACGAAAGCTTTGACTTGCAGAGTAATTGGTAAAATTGACAAATTCATGAAGAAATATAGCTGTCACACTCACTCACTTTGAAATCTTAGATTTCTACTGGAGTTTCTGATTTTCTCGGCCATTTAACTCAAATTCGCGCTTTTGTATCCTTTAAGGGTCAACAATTTGAGTCTGATTCATCTGACGACGATGATGACGAACGAGAAGATAGGTATTTTCGATGGAACATTGATGGCACAACAGCGAGGTTCAAGCTGACACGTGAAGACTGGGAAAGGATTCCAATTAATACTTTCCCAAGCGGTGGCCGACTGTTGAGTGGCGACTGGACAAGAATCTTTCTTGAAAAAGTCAAAGAAAGCAACCCATGGTGCAGTTTACGCTTCAAAAATAATCACGTGAGATCAGAAAACTCGCGCAAAATCCACTCAGCGGTTTTCTTCAGAGGAGGCGCAGAATGCAAGCGACCGGAGTGCAATGTGAAATACGTGGGTAATGTTTGCCACAGCAGCCGGCCTGGAGTGAGTGATAGCGCCATTAGACGAAACAAGCGAGTTCGTCGGACGAATTCGTCGTGAACTGAGTCATTTTAAAAACACCTTTATATTATTTACAGTGGAATAGCCCAGTTTCGAGTTCGCTATGACCGCTGAATAGAAGAAGTGAAGATGCATTTTTTACAGGCTTAGCCTCCATCTGAAGTAGGTATATTCACAAATTCCAGCGAGGAGGAGACCTGTTTGTTACTCTGTCTATTGTGTATTTTCAAATTTCAAACACTTACCTGACTTACCTGTTTGTATTCAGTGGTAATTTTCAGTTCGAAACTGGACTATTACAATTTACCTATACCTTAATCGCTTTGTGAACGCAAGTCGGGAAGATAATGGATGTTAAATTTTTTCCATGAGGATTCTCACTAGCGAGAACGTTGGTGTGATGTTTTATAATCATTATTTTTTTAAGATGTCAAGTTGAAATAAAATTGAAGTACAATTACAATTTCAGAAGACGAAGGCGACGAGAAAATAGTCTCCTATGCTCGCGGCATTTTGAAGTTTTCCATAAATTTGTATACCCGTAATGGAAGAATGTGCCTACATTACAGAATATTTCGCATTAGTTAATGAACGATGGCACCAAATATCTGGATATTTTATCTTTGTACTTCTATCTTTGTACGTGAAACCAGTCGTGATATATTATTATCAATACCTTTCTCATGATATGTAAATTGAATGACACTCAATCCGAGAAGTAAATTGCGGAATGTAAGGGTCGAATTAAAAAGTGCTGTAAAGATAACCATAGTTCTTCTTTCTTATTTGCCTTTGGTACATTTTGATATTCGAACTACGTGCTGTTTTTTTTTGTGTGTGTGTGTGTGTGTTTTGCCTTTATAGTACGTTTTTATATTGAACTCCGCGTTGAGAGCGAATTTCTAAATGTTGATTGACTGAAAGGATACGTGCGTTTCTTCCTCGGCAAAGGCCAAACCTCGTCCCCAGGATCTTCTCGTTTTCCAATATGTCGGTGGCAAACGAGAAGACCCTGGTGACGAAGTTGCGTGGCTACCTGTACGCCAGTGCGCATGTGCGTACCTGAAAAAAATGTTCAACACATGGAACCGAGAATCCAAACCAGAATACATGAATAAAGCCAAGGGACAAAAAGTGAATGAGGGATAGCCGAAAAACGAAGCAACTGCCTACGTAACACCACTTTTGCTTCATTTAGATAATTTTTTCAAATGGTGTTTTCCTAAAAATTTTTCCACACGCAATAGCCGTAACTGCTGCCTGAAGGACACGGTCCTAAGACTAGGAAAGATGATAACCTCACCAAAATGATGGGGTGGGGCTGATTTGGAAAAATGCGTACCCCTGGAAAATTTCTGCAACCCTCAATTACTATCCCTGTACGGATGGTTATTATATTTTTGTGAGTTGTGGTTTAATATTATCCTTGGTTCAAATTTACTTTTCTTTTTTTTGTTTGGTTTTTAGTCTGATGGCAATGAGTATATAAAGGAAAGGAAAACAACATTTAAACCAAGGATCAATTAAAACCGTAACTCTTACTTCATACTAGTTTATTCTAGTAAGGTATAAGATCATCCTGCAAACCCGTCAGAAAGTATGACGCTCGTTTTTTTAAATAACCCGAACTGCGGTCTTTTCAGGTATAGGTGGATGAAAAGTTCAAATGAATGCCAACCTCCCCCCCCCCCCCCCCCCCCCCCCCCACCCCCCCCCTCTTACCCCCCCTCTTTTTTTATCACCCCCCCAAACCCCCCCTCGAGGGAGGCAACACAAAAACACCACGCGTTAGTACAAAAAGAAAAAAAGGTTATATTTTCTAACAATCTTTTCATATCTCTCAACCTACTTAAAAAAAAAAAAAACCAAAGCGAAAAAATACAAAAAAAGTAA